TTTTTGAGATGGAGTTTCACTCTTGTCACCCAGGCTGTAGTGCAGTGGTGCCATCTGGGCTTACTGCAACCTCTGCCTCCTGGGTTCGAGCAATTCTCCTGCCTCAGCCTCCCCAGGAGCTGGGATTATAGGCGCCCGCCACCACGCCCGGCTAACTTTTTGTATTTTTAGTAGAGATGCGGTTTCACCATGTTGGGCAGGCTGGTCTCAAACTCCTGATCTCAGGTGATCCACCCACCTTGGCTTCCCAAAGTGCTGGGATTACAGGTGTGAGCCACCATGCCCAGCCCTTGGTGCTATTTCAAGTAAAAGAAATGAGAGAATTATGAAAACACTGGCCTCCTCATGCTTTCTTGCCTCTCTCTCTCTCCCCGCTTCCCATCTCTTCCCTCTTTCTACACTCCTGCAGCAGTTTTCTTCTGTAAATGCACATCTAATTGTGTCCTTCTGGTTTAGTCTTTGGGCAGAAAAAAGACACGTTTTCTTGACCTCTTTGGTGGCTTAAAAGATAAAGCTAGAGGCCTTATTTGGGGTGCCAGTTCCTTCACACCCTAACCCTCCTTGCCCCTGGACATAGACCCCAAACTCTAATCCTTGCTGCTGGTTGCAGCCTCCACCAGGAGACAGATCTCTTCCACCTGGAGATCCGTTGCTCATGCTCCATGGCTCAGCCCGAAGCTCACTGGCTGTTTGAAGCCTCGCCTGATGGCTTCCTCCACCCCCACCGGAATCAACTGCTCCCTTCTTAGTGTTCCCATCCCGTTCAGTTTATTGAATCGAATTGAAGGCTGAATGGTGAGAGAAACACAGCACGCGGCTGGCGCCCCTAGGTGGCAGTAGCGAGGCGGCACGGCCGACCCGAGCTGTGGGTCAGGGGAAGACCGACGGAAGTCAGCCTGTGGGAGGGAAGTGAGGCTCGCTCTCTCCTCTGAACAACTCTCCCTTACGCACCTGCCCTGCTGCTGTGTCCTGGGCCCCCGCTCAGCTCTAGAGAGTGTGCATGATGTGTACAGGTCATCTCAGCCCACTCTGGTGAGTGCGGTGAGAGTTTTGTCGTGATTGATATGGAAGCCCAGAAAAGGGACCTGGGTGGGCACAAGAGATCCCAGAATGCTTCCTGGAGGAGAGGGGGCAGGACAGGTGGAGAGGAGCTAGCCAGGCAAAGACAATGGGGCGAGGTTTTGTAGGACACAGCAAAGCCCAGAGGTGGGAACATCGAAGTGTGTTCAGAGAGCCACGTGGGGTCTTCAGGGGCAAAAAGACTGAAGTGGGCAGTTGTGGCAGGAGTGCTCACGTGTCCACTGGGTGAGGACTTGGGAGTTATCCTGCGGCTAGGCCAGGGGTGGCTACTGAGCAGTTTTAGTTCACTGCTCACCCTGGTCGAGAGGCTGGGGGAGAGATGAGAAACCAGTTATGGGCTATTGCAGTACTGAGGTGGCCCTGTAATGGCTGAACTGCTGAAGGTCAGGACTGGGACTGCTTCTTTATTTTGTATGCCTGATGCTTTACTCTGTGCCTGGCACGTGGTTGATGTTTTGTCTGTACCAGGGGAAGGAAAGATGAGCAGACCACTCAGAAGTGACTGGATCCAGGTACCTTTCAAAGAGACATCAGTAGCTAGGTGTGTTGGCTCACATCTGTAACCCCAACAGGTTGTGAGGCCACGGTGGGAGGATCACTCAAGGCCAGGAGTTCAAGACCAGCCTGGGCAACATAGTGAGATCCCCTCTCTACAAAAACAAATTTTTTAAGAGCAAGACATTTATAAGGGGAAAGAATCACAGGAGAGAGAACAATCCTGAACAACTCGATGGCCAGACTCATGTCACCGTGAACAGAAACAGGCAGACTCAAGGAAGGGGAGTGACTAGGAAGAATAAGATGAAGCTGGGTTTAGAGACACTGAGTTTAAAATCCCTTTTAGGAGTTGGTCTAGCGGGAGCAGACAGCAGTCTGAATAGGGATGGTGGCAGAGAGGTGGGAGGACAGTGAGAGACAGATCTCACATGTCAAATTGGTGGGACATGGTGCCTGATTAGGTCCAAGGGATAGATAGAGGTGGCATGGGGGACAGGTGGGGCCATGCCACCAAATGAAGTAATTCAGGAGGTGGAGATGGTTTGAAGAGAGGGCAAGGACAGGAGGAGAGGAGATGAAGGTGTTCGTAGCTGCAGACAGCGAGGTTGGGGAGACACATTCACCTTGATTTTGTTCATGAAGTGGGACTAGAGACAGGTTCTCACTGTACCAGGCGCTGTGGAGCCAGAGGGAGGGCGGGGTTGAGCACTGGAAAGGGGAGTGACTTTTGTACAGTAGTTCAGCTGATGAGCAGGAGACTTAGTGCCCAGCTCAGGCCTGCCAGGCCCCAGAGCCCAGGATTTTTTCCTGCTGTGCCCTGTTGCTTTGCACTTCTGTGCAAGATCCCCACAGTGGCCTTTGGCCTTGACCAGCCAGAAAGAAGCCAGAGCTCTTAGCAGGGCTGTGGGGCACTTGGACTGGGCCACAGGCCAGTCACACCTGACCTGCTTCTGCCCCAGGCTCCTCAGCCTGGCTGATAGAGATTTGCTGTCACTTAGCTGGAGCTGCTCCAGCCAGGCATCCCACCCCTCCGTGGGCCATGGGCAGGGGCCTGGAAAGAGCTGGTGCCGTGTCCACCTGAGACCTCTCCTTACATGGCAGTTATAACTGGGTCAGGTGGTGCTTTGGGCTTTTTTTCTGGCAACAGAGCATTTCCTGAATGACCTAAGCCTTTTTTACCTTGAAGACTCAGAATGTTGCATCTGGAAAGGATCTTTAAAATTATTGGGTCCAAGCCCCGTCAGATGATGTGTGAAATGTCAAGATTGAGCCTGACGATAGATTTGACTGTTCTAGTTTTGCCCTGGCTCAAGTGGTTTAGATTACCTGCTCCGTCATGATGCAAGGAAACTGGTTCTCATGCATGCCTGGTGGAAAGCAGCCTCACTGCTTTTCTCTGTCTTTTTCTGTCATACATAAAGACACATACATTTCTCTCCCCTGTATATGCACTGGATAATCTGCGTATGTGAACAACATCACTAATGTCACATAGAC